TAAAGATCTAAATATTAAAACAGAAACACTAAACTTGCTGGAAGATAAGTTAGGCAGAACTCTTGAAGACGTTGACATAGGAAAAGATTTTATGAACAAATCCTCAGTAGCATGGGAACTAGCAGAAAGAATCAATAACTAGGATCTCATCTTATTAAAAAGCTTCTGCACTGCAAAAGAAACCATTAACAGAAGTAAGAGACAACCTACAATGTGGGAAAAAAATTTTACCAGCTGCTCCTCAGACAAAAGACTATTATCTAGAATATATAAAGAACTCAAAACAACCAGCCCCCCAAAAACAAAGACTCCATTCAAAAATGGGCATCTGAAATGAACAAACATTTCTCAGACAAAGAAGTAAAAGCAGCCAGTAAATATATGAAAAAATGTTCCACATCACTGGTCTTTCGAGAGATGCAGATGAAAACAACACTGAGATTTCCCCTCACCCCACAAAGAATGGCTGCTATCAAGAAATCACACAATAACAAATGTTGGCGGGGTTGTGGGGAGAAAGGAACCCTTCTCCATTGTTGGTGGGAGTGCAGACTGGTGCAACCACTAGGGAAATCAATATGGAGATACCTCAAAGAGCTTGGACTGGAGGTTCCATTTGACCCAGTCATCCCTCTGCTGGGTATCTTTCCAAAAAAATTAAAAGAATCATATCACAGAGATATATGTGCAACTATGTTTATAGCAGCACAGTTTGTAATAGCTAAAACTTGGAAACAGCCCATTTGCCCATCAGTTTGAAACTGGATAAAGAAGATGTGGTTTTTCTATAAAATGGAATATTACTCAGCCATAAATAATGAGAAATTAGATTCATTCATAGGAAAATGGATACATATTGAGGATATACTCCTAAATGAAATAAATAAGTCCCACATGTATAAATACTGAAAAGTTTCTCTGGTGTGAATAAACTGTAATACATAAGATCCTAATGAGATAACTGACATTGTGAAATGGGAAGAAAAGGGCTAAAGGTGTAGGGAAAGTGGGAAGGGGAGGGGAAAGGTAATAAGGGAAAAGAAAGGAATGTGAGAAAATGAAAAGATGAAAATGAAGTGTCTGTAAATGGGGAGGGGAGGAGGGGGCGAAGGGAGGGCAGGGACAAGGGGAGAAAATGAGAACCAAGACCTGTCATGTAAAGGTACGAGACACCAATAATGAATGTAATTGTACTGTATACCTAAAATGTACCAATAAACTCAATTTAAAAAATAAATTAAACTGAAGGTTTTAGTGGTGGGTATGGAATTTGGGTGTGAGTTACTCTGACCTCAGCACTAGGCTTCATCCCAACTCACTTCCATAAACAAGCAAGTTGTGGGGTTCACTCTTCACAGCCTGCTTTGGGCATAATCAATATTACAGTCCTCTGCACCTAGCTTTTTTTTTTTTTTTTTTTTGAGACAAGAGTATGGCTAAAATCACTAAGCTGTGCCAGACTGGGTTCATGCCATCCTTCTGCCTCCCAGACTGGTACGTTAATTATTTTTTAAAGGAAGTAACTATACTCGTAAAGAAATACATAATTTTTTTTTTTTTTTGGTATGGTGATCGAACCCCGTCCTTGTGCTTGCAAGGCAGGCAGTGGAACCACTGAGCTAAATCCCCGGCCCATAGAATTTTTTGATGAGTATGTATGGTTTTGTCTTGTTGTTTTCTACCTAAAATTACTTTTATTATAAAGAAAATATTTTAATTTTTTCACTCACCCAACCCAGATATAATTACTACCTAGACTGTATCTATTAATAAACAAATGTAGAACAACACACCCTTGGCACGGTCCAGCCCTTAAGAGCCAGGATTGTGGAGGCTATCTGCCTAAATTTGATTCTAGATCTATAATTCAATAGTTGTGGGCTGTTACATACTCAGCCTGTATCTGCTTTATTCATCTGTAACTGGATAAGATTATTCCTCTAAGGTTGGTGTGAAGATTAAGTAAATTAATACTAATTTCAAAGCACTCACAAGTGCCAGGCATCACACATCTATGCAAACTGTTAGCTTTTGTTATCCCTATGACTAGGTTCAAGCCCTGAACTAGTTCTGAGGACAAAACCAGGAAAATAGTCCCTATTCACATAAAGAGGGGAGTCACTCAGGCAAGAAGAGAAGCCACAGCAAAATGAAAACAGGCTAAAGGCAGGTAAAGCAACAAGGGACTTCAGAGGAAGGAATGATTAATTCTAGAGTGAATCCAGGGAGTTATAGAGCAGTAGTACTGGAAACAAGGTCAGAAGAGTTTCAACAAAGTGGCTCCTAAGACAGAAGAGGACCGCAAAAGACCTTACCAAAGAGACAAAGGTATGGCTTGTTCCCCAAAACACCAGAAATGCAGATGGGTTGAAGTTGGGGCAGAAGAAACCTCTGGAGAACAGAGGCGGCTGCAAAGTAGGCTTATCAAGCAAAGTGCCACAAGATGGGAGGGCACGACACGGATAATATACCACGAAGGTACTATACAGGAAATGAACACAGGTGTCGTTAAGGAAGCCAGGATACCATCGACCCCATCGCTCCGCTACCCTTAGGGTGCCAACTTTAGACAAACTGCGAGCCCGAGCCACAGACTGACCAACAGCGTCCCCCGCAGGCGGCGAGGGACCGGTGCACGCGCGGGACTAGCAATACCTGAGAACTACAACTCCCAGAGGGAGAGGAGGCGGGCCATTCCGCACTTCCGCTTCCGCCACCGCCCGTGCTCGCTCTCCACTCTGACCAATCAGAAGCGGGCCAGGCGCGTGACCCTGCGGGACTGAGGCGAGCAAACCCTGAGCTGCGCGGGGCGGGAGTGCGGGCCCCATTGATAGGAAGGCGACCAGAAAGGGAAAAATTAAACTTGACCGTCTCCGTAGCGATTGGAGTTGATGGGCAGAGGCGGAGCGGAACGTACGGGGACCCTGGCCAATCGGTGTCTAACGCGGTCGGGGAGTCTGAGCCGAGAACTCGGAGCGAGGGCGGTGTGGTCAC